CTTCTTTCATGCTTTTCCCCTCTCCTCAAATTCTTCTTACATTCTATCTTGCTTCTTTTGGGCTTTTCTACTGATATTCACTACTTCATCCCTTAGATATAATCATTTTAAATACTTTGTACTTTAGTACAAATCATTGAATAATATACATAATTTAAATTCTTCTATTGTAAAATTAGCCTAATATATTTTTTTATTTAATAAATGTTATTCCTTCTTCTAAAACTGATCTCTGACATAATCATTACTCGTTTGCCTGGATCTCACTGCATCAACGTTTACTTGAAGTACGGTACTTGATTGGTTCTCAATAATATTTAATAATTCATATTAATAATGGTTCGTATTTTTATCCATGCTGAAAACCGTTGTTGCTGCTCTTTTGTGGAAATCATCTTTCTCATCATTCTCTAATGAACAGAACATTCAAAAAGAACAACATTGATCTGAAATAGAAATATTTGTAATATTGTTATCTTTTTATCATTTTTTCTATCAATTGAATGTATCCCTGTTGAATACAAGTATGCATGTATGAATGTATTTTTTAATACTAGTTCCAAAATTCATTTTGTGTTCCACGAAAGAAAGGACGGGAACAGAGGTTTGGTTTGGAGCAAGGTGAGGGCGAAAAGAAACTGATAGAAGTGTCCCTTTAAGGACAGAAAGCTCGCAGCTGTCAGGCGCATGCGTACTGCTCGGTTGCTATGGGATACGTGACGAGTCAACAGCGCGTCCAGCTGTGTGTTGAGTGTCTCATTTCAGCGTCGTTGGATACAGAGTTGTGTTAGGAAATATCGTTTATGTTTCAAATTTTGAGATACTTTAATCTACACAAATACTCAGGACAGTAGAGTTTGTAAGCCCATATTTTCTATAGCCGTTTTATGCATGCGCTGAATTAAACAAATCGTTAATAAAAGTATCTCTATGTAGTTGTCGGACCCACTAATGCATTTTTTCACCTACAGATTCAAGAGTGCAAACATGACAGCAGGTTCAGTGGCAGCACCTCAAATAATTCCCATTCGCATGCCGCCTCCAGGCAAAGCCAAGCATGAGATCGACTCCTGCACCCCTGTCGAGATCAAATCCGGTGAGTCAGTGCGGTTGTGAGGAACTCCAGCTCGCTCCTTGCTGGTAGATCTTCATGTGTTTTATAACCCATATTTCCAGAATCCTCAGATGTGCGTGTCCTGTACACGCTGGACGGCAGTAAGCCGGAGATG